ATCATTCTATTCAAAAAACATACTCTTCAGCAAGTACAATTCGACATCGTGTTGCATTTTCGATCGCAAATTTTGTTCGACCATTTTTACCTGCAATACGACCAATAGCCCTCGATAAATTATCACCTTTCAATGGTTTAACTATCAGGAAAAAAAAGCATAAAAACAAATCAAATAAAATTATCCGTATTTATTTTTACCATCATTAATTTCAAATGATTCTAGAAAGAGATCATCAAGACGAATTAATGCAAGTGCATCATCAACATCAAAACCAAGTGTAAATGCTTTAACAAAATCAGCTTAAAAAAAAAGAATTAAAATTTTCTTTAATTATTTTTTGCTTTTAATTTTTTCTTACCAGCTTTTTGTAATGATTGAATATCTTCAGTTTGATCAGATGTTTTGATTTCAACACAACGTGTTTTTAAATTAAAACGTATTTGTAAATGAAGATATTCAACAATAGGTGAATAAATTTTCATCCATTGTTCTTTTAATGGTGTATAACGATGTGCAGGTATTGGTACTTTGCGAAAACCATCTGTTTCATCCTTAAGATTAGATTTAACAAAACTATATAACTTTATGTTTTGTTTTGTTAAAATAGAACTTTACTTTTAATTGAGATGGATGGATTTGTGGAAATTGTGCTGATGAATTCTGTTCTATATCCATATGAACATTTTCTTCTTCCTTTGTTTCACGTTTTCGTTTACCATTTGAACGTTGTTCTTTAAATTCATCTGATGTTGCCATGATGAAATAGATCTTCAATAGAAATAAAAAGAACGCGTCTTTTCTACATGCATAAAATTAATTTAATTAGAAGAATGACTAGCTAAGAAAACAATTTAAGTTGAAAAAAAAAAGACTATAGTTCGAACAATTAAAAATGAAAGTTGAAATTTTACTGTTTTTAATTTCATAAATATATGATCAATCCATACCAGTCTATAGTATATAAAAGCGAGAGAACACATCATCATGAAATTAAAAAAAGTAAAATTTCAACTTCCACTTTTAATTGTTCGGACTATAGTAATGAGCATATATGTCATCCTAAGCTAGGGAAAACTAAAATATGAAAAAATAATGTCATTGTTCTTCTAATCTTGACGCGATTTGCAAATCTGTTCGAATTCAGGTTTGAGTGAAGCGCCTAGAAAACAAAAATAACCAAGATTTGGATGAATTTTATTGAAATTTTTTTTTTTATTGATAACAAACCGCCAACAAGAAATCCATCAATATCAGGTTGTTGAGCCAATTCTTTACAGTTTGATCCACTAACCGAACCTATTAATTAGTCCAGTGTAGAAATCGATTTGATTGATCATACAAAAAACTCTTACCACCATAGATAATACGAATATTTTTCGCAATCTCAGCATTTGCATTTTGTTCAATAAATTTTCGTAAATGTTTATGAACTTCTTGAGCTTGTTGAGGTGTGGCTACTTTACCAGTACCAATAGCCCAAACAGGTTCATAAGCTATTACAACACGATTATATTGATCGTTGGCAATTTTCTCTAAAAAAAAATCAATCATGATGTTTTATTGTTTCGATCAATTATGAAGACTCTTAGCACAATCCCTGCGGAATTAAAATGTGAAACATGGTGTAGCTATTGTTGCTAATCACAAGAAAGATTGTTTTATTCTATCTATTTTGAAACATGCGTTATTGATATACGGTCTTTGATCGTACATCAA